AGTTTTACAAATATTACGTTTCCCAGTGTACTTTCGTTACCGTTTTAAAAGGTCGAAGGTGCAACGTTTCGCTGTATCGTCACTGTAACTCATCGGATTTTCCAAGAACGAGACGATTAAGCTTCTTAAACGATATCGACGGCTTTCCTGGGTATAATACTTGTTCGTTACGTTCGACAGAGATTATGGTTTGGCAGTAAAACTGCTCGACCGAGCGCCGGACACGGGGTATATAATTTTACACTTGCGACGCGTCGTATGTGAATATGATCCTTATTTAGAGTCGCGTCGCGCTGCTATGTCGGAAATTTTAGCTGATCGCCCGTGGGGGTTGCTTAAACCCTTCGAATGGCCGGGAATTCTCGTGAACAACAACGATTTTAGCGGATAGGGCGGGCAGTCGCGTGCTGCCTCGGTTGGAGATCATAAAATCGTGGGAGCAGGCCTCGCATGAACGTTTATGCTTTCCAATTCGCTTTCAGTTTAACTTCGTTTATGGCTCGTGTCGTTTGAGTATCGAGATTGTTCCGATAGCACTCGGCTAAGTGATTGATCATTTTCAAACATGGACATGGACATTGGTGGTACATGATGTTAAGTCGAGTTTACGATGTTGATGTAATTTCTTCGATATTTTTTATGTTCAGGTACATTCTATAGCAATTGACATATAAGAAGTTATTCGTAATTCTTGAAATCTGATTCAATATTTGATTTTATTCTACTCGTTATGTGTTTCACTAATTCTTGTTATATTTATTCGTAATATTGTAATTATATTATGTATAGGAATAATTGTACTACTTCTTGGATGTTGCTAAATATACTGGAAAAATATCATATTAATTCAATTAAAGAACGTTGGTACAAGTTATCGAGGGAAAAATCAAGAATACTTTGGAGAATTTGATTATTTGACCTTTTAGGGCTAGGATTATAGAGAGCCAAAGACCTAGCACTGATGGTGATTGTAGCCGAGATTTTTTTGGTTGATTTTAAATGGATCTAGACTATGGATTTCAGTGCGAAGGTTGGAAAGTCCTCCAGAGCTTCGAGTAATCAGAAATTTAGCATTAATGGTGTCTTAATGTCGAAGACTATGTGGGAGATATGAAAGTGATCCTAGGGCAGGCTAGCTTGTTTCATAGATGAAAATCTTTTAATCATAATTACAAAAATATTAATTTCTTTCAATCCTTATAGAATTCATTCTCACCGGCAGTTTATTCAACAATTTTCCGATGTTCTGTTTTAATGTTATGTACGTATATAAACGTATAGGTCAAATAACTCACATTTCAACTCGTTGAGGCTCCAATAATTAACCTCTATGTGTGCAATATGTACACTGACGCCATGAGCAAATACCATATTTCCATAGTATGTTTAAGCTTGCCAATATCGAGGAATAAATTGCTACTACGACATATATAACACCGTGGAATATTTCATTATTTGTGTCGCAATCGTTCGGTGATGGAGTATTGATGAATGGGTCGCGCCTAACGTATCACTTTTTGGACACAATGTCAGGGATTTTGATAAAATTGAAATACGGTATAGTCGATGTTAAAATAAAGGTCTTTCAGCCTATCATTTTGATGGCCATGAATTTTTTTTTTAAAGTCGGAATGTAAAAAGAAGAGCACCATTTTTGGCAGTTAAATCATTCCACAATGAAAGCAGAAATTAACTTCAAAAATCGCGAAACAATGAATAACATTTTAGTTTGCAGTTCTTATACTCGCGTGTACGCGTGTAAATTAATAACAGAGCACCCAGTCGTTTATTGTATTCTTGTGTTATATTTTCATGAAAATGCAATAACATCATGTGGTGAATATTATATTACATTTTCATGAAAATGTAACACAAGAATACAATAAATGTAGTATTTAGATAAACAGAGATGATAAAAGATGAAGCTGAGTAATTGCTTAATTTCCTCCCTTAACGTTACATAAATACTTTTTATCGTGACAAACATTTCTGACATGGTATAGAAGTTTATTGCGAAATGATCCGAACAGGATTCCATTTCGAGTAGTAGTAGAGTTTACGCATAGTCAGCCACTCGCTGGAGCATGGGGCTGGGAACGGTCGTTCGGGTTGCGGCATGAGCGAGATCTATTTATCTTAGCATCGTGCTACGGTTAAATAGTTGAAAAATGTTCAAATTAATTACCATAACGCCGGTATCACGATGGAAATGATAATTCAAGAAGACGTAACATCAGATACGTTCGAGACGCTGTCGCAATTTTAAGCAGACAGTGATAAATCGTTGTGTAACATTTCATTATCTCGCGGCTCGAAGCATTTTTCAAACTGTAATTATGTTTGACACGTTCATTACAATCCAAGAACGTAGCTACTAAAATGCTGAAATCCGGGAGCTATAAATTCTGCGCTCCCACCGGAACGTCAAGCTTACAAGTTAAAAACTTCTTCGCTATTTACTATAAGCAATAAATACGTCGACAATAAAAATGACAAATAGTCTTTAAAAAATTTTAAAAAAAGATTAACAAATGATTACCACTAGTGTACATTTGGCATCTATCTTTCGTATTCAATTTTTCCACACCGATTGTCAGGCAATCGTGTTTCGAATCACAGACCAAAAATAAAAACAGTAGATAAAAATAAATTACACCATCCTTTCCAATTAATTCATCCAGCTAAAATAATCTAACGATTTTACCGAGTCCCCGCAGCCAGAAATCGTCTTTGCACCGAACGTTCCATCACCAGATCAAAGTTTTCACAGTACAACAAATAAATTACACCATCCAATCAATTCATTCGGTTAAAATAACCCAAAGATTCGCTCGCGTCTCGAAGCCATGAACAATCTGTCTGAAATCGAATTTTCCGGCTAAACGTATCATTTGAGTCCTTCAGCGAGATTCGCCCGTTCGGTGGAACCACGCCGACTCGCATTAAGTGTAACAACACTCCTCGGCGTTTAGAGTGCAGGCTTCACCGGCGGTGGATCTCCTGTGTTCGCGTTCTAGGATCGAATGGTTCAGAGAATCGTTCCGGGGAACAGTGTGTATCTGGCGGGATTCCCGAGCAGGGCTACTCAACGAAATATCCAGCCCGCGTCGCCCTCAACGCCATGGGAATACCGTTCGAATGTGTGCAGCCTGGCGTGTGTACATATCATGGTAAATGCAGCTACTGCACACGCCTGGAAACAGACCTCTTATGAAACCCATCCGTTCTTCTCTAAATATTTGGGCATTTTCATAAGAGGTGGTCCTTGTCGCGCCGAGGACTACGGCAAACGCGTACTTCTTCGGTAACCCACGGGCTACGTACGTGACTTCGTGAGAGCAGTCCTGTAATATGCCTATAAAGTGCAAACACCGCCGGCGCGTCCCCCATGCAGCCGAGGTACGTGCAATTTACGCGGAGACGCTATCGGATCCCGTATTTCCTCTGACGAATCACCCCGAGCCGACGAAAGCGAAGAAAAACACTTTTCTTTCACGATGGCGGAACCTATCGCCGTACGCTCTTTTCTGTCGCTGAAATATACTGCTTCATAGAATTTAAAGGATCGCTAAATTGTAATCGAAGAATTACGAATCTTCGGGCTGCCGTAAGTTTATAATGAAAGGATGTTTCGTGTTATAGACGACTTTGGTAGGATATTTTGGTATAAAAATATGGGGGTGGGACGATTGACCATTTATCAATTACAATTTACATATTCAATATTGTGGAGTAGTGCAGTTTTTTTGAAAATGCGAGTTTTGAAAGCTTTGGTTGATTCAGTTTATATGCTAGATTTGCGTAAATAGTGGAAATATGATGTTCCGTTCGTTTTGAGTAGTTCTATCATTTGTAAATTATGTTTTCACGCATTTCTGCAACAATCGCAATTGAAACATTTATCATACAATTCTCAAATTTGCATGGTTGTGAAATGTATATGGGATAATAGGTCGGAAAGAGATTTAATCGTGTTTCATGTTCAGTCAGTGGAACAGCTGGATCTGCGTATGCTGTATTCGGAAGTAAAAACACGGCAACAAAACAAACGAAAAATGTAATAAACAGCAGCACAGGAATATACTCGACGGCTAATAAACTTTATTTACAATTAGCGTAAACTGTTACGAGTGTGTTATTCGAAACTGTTTACAAAGCCCAGCATATCAGCGAATTGTCATGAAAATTCAATTACATTGTTTTTTTTTTCAGCGTCGCGAAAGTAAATTTCTGCGCTCGGTAACGAGGTTGAAGTTTGATGCTTGCATGTTCCAATGTAAATTGCTCTCATTGGAGCTCGAGGTTCCGTGTAAATGTTTATAATTTGTTTCCCTTCTGTTCTACTGTATTTTATGTTATCAGTTCGATTGGATATTCGTTCGTTCATTTCCTCGTGAAACGTTTAATTCGTCTTTTCCAATTGAATTAATGAATTCTTGCAAAAATCACGTCATTAGGTTGTCTACTGTTTTCAAAAAGTATAATTTCAACTTACCAATTTTGATTGGCCGCGACGCTGCGTTGCTTGTCGGTAGACTTATCGACAAACCGAGAACAATTAAAATGGCGAACAGTTTCTGCCCCATTTTTACGTGCTCTTAGTGACCTGAAACAAAACATAAACACTAATTAGTACAATATATTATATAATTTCTGCACTCTTGCTTCTAATTACTGTATGTGTTAAAAATAAGATTTAGAATTAGAAACGGTGGTCGATGGAATTGAATTTCCATCCACCTCCAAGGGTCTCATTTGCAGCAACCTCCACGTGGTAGACCTGGAAACTAGCAGCAATAGCCGATGGAGTACATTCCCACCGAGGATGCTGCTAGGCTAATCGGCTGCGGGATTGTATAATATTGTATTAAGACATTGTGCGCCCATTAAATTTTAGCTTCTAAAAACGCGAGCGTCAGTGACTATATTGGTACATTTTTAGATGTCAATCAAACTGAAATTCCTATCTCACGACAAAGAATAATGAACTCGATTTTGTAATTTTTCTTTGGATTTGTGTTATACATATCTAAAATGTTACATTAACGTAGGATTAGCAAGTAAAAGATAGTCTAAAAGTCCCCCATTATCGCGGGCCGGCGCGCAGTGCGTTAATTTAAAAAATCAAGGCACCTAGAAAATCGCCGAATGAAAACGGTTAAACAAGGAATTGTTTTTAATGTTGATGTCAAGGAGGTCGCGACTGACGTCGGCGACCTTAGACCATATAAAGAACAGACCTGACGGCC